AGTCACACTGTGCTCCAAGGCACCACCACAGAGCAGCAACAGACCAGTCAAACGTTGGCACTCACAAACATCAATCCGTTCACTTTAATCTTTCACTATGGTACTGAACCAAAATTATCGGCGCCAGAGTGTCACGCCAACCTCCTGACCCTTCCACCCCCTCCCCCCCCATTCCCCTGGGGCTAGGGGAGGGGGGGATGTTAGGGGAGAACAGCCAGAAATAGTCCTCATGAGATCCTTACTCATATGTACCCCATGCCCATCCTGCGAGTGGTTGTGGACCCTGTACCCCATCCTGTGAGCGGTTGTGGACCCTGTACCCATCCTGCGAGCGGTTATGGACCCTGTACCCATCCTGCGAGCGGTTGTGGACCCCGTACCCATCCTGTGAGCGGTTGTGGACCCTGTATCCATCCTGCGAGCGGTTGTGGACCCCATACCCATCCTGCGAGCGGTTGTGGACCCCATACCCATCCTGCGAGCGGTTGTGGACCCCATACCCATCCTGTGAGCGGTTGTGGAAAGGGCTACTTTAGTGAGTTAATGAGTGTGTGTAAAATAAACAATCTTACCTATCCCATGATGGACTCAGGAATTGAATCCTCAAAGTTCGTTTAGCTAAGTAAGAAGTTGATTTATTTCCGGCGTCGCAGTGTACGGAGACTAAACCAAGTCCAACACAGATACTTATACATCAAAATAATGATCAGCTTTACTTATCACAAGAGACAAGTTTAGGTCGCTCAGTAACACGTGGATGATGATTTAACTACTGAAGTGGCGGCAATTAAAGACACCACCCGGAGGAACCAGACACCACAAACTTTATGGTGACACTATGCCAACACGGCTGCCTGGTTGATACCTGGTTGATACCTGGTTGATGGGGTTCTGGGAGTTCTTCTACTCCCCAAGCCCGGCCCGAGGCCAGGCTTGACTTGTGAGAGTTTGGTCCACCAGGCTGTTGCTTGGAGCGGCCCGCAGGCCCACATACCCACCACAGCTCGGTTGGTCCGGCACTCCTTGGAGGAATAAATCTAGTTTCGTCTTGAAGATGTCCACGGTTGTTCCGGCAATATTCCGACACAGGCAGTGGGGGAGACTGCCCCTTGCATCTTGAATTATGACCAAAAACCCCTTATCTGAGGGATGGAGGGGCCACAGGAACCTGCTATGCTGCCACCATCACCTGGCAGGTGACGGGGGTCAGCAGCTTCCTGTACAAGGCTCTACCAATGAGTCACCTACGAGGGGCCAGGCCATACAGTCCCTCCGGCGACACCTCGCGCCCAGCAGGCCAGCCACAGGTACCACCAGCCAGTACCTACCCTACCTACCTCTCTCACTCCTTTATATCACCTTTCTCTCACTCTTTCATTCAGCTTGGCGCTTTCCCCTGATACTACCCTTCTCTTCTTTCACTCGTGCACTCTCTCTCTCTCTCTCTCTCTCTCTCTTTCGCGCACTCACTTTCACTCTTCCGCACCTTTGTATGCGTAAGTATCCACTCGGAAAATGAAACTAAAATTCGGAACGTTTTCGTAGACGGTAGAGCAACGGTCTCGCTTCATGCTGGTCGGCGTTCGATCCTCGACCGTCCAAGTGGTTTGGCACCATTCCTCCCCCCCCCCGTTCCATCCCAAATCCTTATCCTGACCCCTTCCAGGTGCTATTTAGTCGTAATGGCTTGGCGCTTTACCCCTGGTAATCCCCTCCTGACAATCCTAGTGTTAGGATGATGTAAAAAGTAAATAAATGATGACCAAAAATATATTACAGATCCACAAGATTTTCTCTGAGAACTCTCTATTTTCTTCTCCGAGGCTATGGGTTCCTACACTTGCACCAGAGGTGGTACTCCTATATTACAGATGATAATATATATATTGCAATCGATATTACAGATTGTAATATATATTACAATCGATATTACAGATTGTAATATATATTACAATCTATATTACAGATTGTAATATATATTACAATCGACCGTATAGTGATAACCTAAAAACTTGTTCGTTCCTACATAACCGATATTGGTAACAATTTGGTTTAGTGCGCCTAACCTTACGTGAGCGGGCGAGGCCTCGACCACACCCTGCCACATATAGCCTGGTGTGTGAGGGGGCCCCCGTCGGTGTGGGCCCCTTCTATACCCACCAGCCCGGGTCATGTATGGCACGGTGGGCACGGGTATGCTGGGGTCTGGCTGTCTAGAGTTATAGCCAGTGACATTACTCCCATGCCACTTAAGGGAAAGTATGATTTAACGAGACGCCATGTAGAGAGGGGGGCCCCCCCGCCAGACTACCTCGCCATGTAGAGGCCCGCCAAAACTACCTCGCCATGTGGAGGCCCAGCAGACTACCTCGCCATGTGGGGGCCCGCCAAAACTACCTCGCCATGTGGAGGCCCGCCAAAACTACCTCGCCATGTGGAGGCCCGCCAAAACTACCTCGCCATGTGGAGGCCCGCCAAAACTACCTCGCCATGTGGAGGCCCGTCGGACTACCTCGCCGCCTCTCATTGCTCTCACCTTGACACCTGCACGCACTCGCCTCATAATAAACCAACGAGCCATAAATACTACTGTGACAGGCTACTGTTGACAACAGCGGATGGCCCGAAGGATGGGTGCAACAGCTAGGGGGGAGACTTCACTCTGCCTCAGATCTACGAGGTTTTCTTGAAGTTCATTGTGTATTACTGTTCTCAAGTTGCTTACAGGCAATATAAGGTTATACTCGTCTCCTCCTTTGAAGGCAGATTCTTTGGCTAACTCATCAGCTCTTATCATGCATTCAAAGGCCAACATGTGATGGAATCCACATGAAATGAACTGTTACCATCATTAATAATTCTGTTGTATTAGTGTCTAGCTTGAGACACGAGTCTGTTACAATTGTGTCTTAAAAGAGCGTCAAGATCAATTAAGGATGATTAATTATAAGTGATTCTTTGTGTGTCGAGTTTGGAGCCATATAGACATTTGAGTGCAAGAAGCATGACAAATAGTTCGGTGTGAAGGGCAAAGGCCCAGTTGTTCCCACTCAACACGGCCCATCACCCATTGTCAGGACAAATACACTCCCAGCGGTGTGACGGTGTAGGGGACCATCTGTGTATATAGGGCGAGGGAGCGAATGGTCTGTGAGCAAAGTATCAATATGGCTTAAGCCGTTAAGCTCTGCCATAAGGGACCACCTTGCCTGAGACAGACACACACACACTCCTAACATGTACATACACTCTAGTCAGGGCGGGAGACCATCGGCACTGCCCCACAAGCGCGTACTCCAGCACGCGCACACATTACAGGGACTCTTAGTGTTGTTATGGTAGAACCTTGTGCGCTGGGGAATCTACAGACCAGTCGGCTGCAAGTGCGGAGGCAGGACCCTAAAGCTGAAGCTCCACTAAAACACAACTAGGCAAGTATCAGAACACAAGCAATATAAATATATTGGGCTCATTCATTCTATTCATTGCTCACTCCAAGTATCTACATAAAAACTTTATGCTGGAAAAGCAAGAGTAAAGAAAATGCGTATCGCATGTGTGTCACATATCAGAATGTGATGACTATCCTGCCATCTATTCTGATGGCAGAATAGAAGCAACGAGACTGAGCTCGACTACACTACACATCACAGGAGGTACAGGCTAGGGGGGGAGGGGGGGGGTACTGTATCCTAGTGGTCACCACTCTGTAACCTTCAAGATACAATGTCGTGCTCATCTGTCCACCTAAAATAAATGAACCTGAAGTGGTTGCAATTGGCGTCACACGGTCGAGTGCGACTGTGCTAACTTTAAGTCTAAGCGCACTCTACTGGAGACACAATGCGAACCCCAAAGAGCTGGAGAACCTGTACATCAACTGATGTTGACAGACAGGACCAAAGTGCTGAGGTTCAACCCCTCCCCCCCCCTCCACCCATTCACCCACGAGGCACATAAAGAGGCGCCCGTTACAACAGAGTTGATTGTGGTTCACATAAATTAACATAAAGAGAGCCAAGGAGCGAGGCGAAGAGGCTCAACATCCCGCCTCTTTACGTCCCTCCTGGTAAACAAAGAGTCCTGCCAGACATAATGGCCTGACTGATGCCCAAACTAATAACCCTCACTCACACAAGATCTACTCTCTGAGTGACGATCCTGAGACGAGAGCCGTCTCAGGAGCCGTCTCTAGACTTTTGTTAGACCTCAAGATAACCTCTAGACCAATAATGGAATATGGGGCACCGGCCTGGAACCCCACACTTCCTCCTTCCTAACACCTCCCCCCCCCTCCCAACCACCACCATCACAGAGCGAGTATTAAACATTACTGGGAAACTTAATTTTTTTTGTCTGAAAAAGTCTTACCCTTGAGAAGAGGACTTTAAGCACGCCCGCACCTAAACATACCACGTCACAAAGTCTATGACTAAGCACTCTTGGAATGTTGTATTGTTGAAAAAACTGAAATTCAGACTTGAGAATTATGAACTATGTTTACAAACAGGGCAGCAATTTTTATCCAGGAACATTTATCATGTCCTGAGTTCCATAGTCTGCAATGATAGGTTTTTGATGATATTTATATTATTCAAATTTTACCAAAATTTATTGAATTGAAAAAAAAATCCTCCTAGTTATCCTTTATTATATATATCTCCCAGTCTCTAGACTCGACACTCCGTCAAAAATGCAACCGTTTTGCGTAACCAGAAACGTTGGACCCCCCCCCAAGTTTCAGCCCCGCTCCTGTGCCAGGTAAGTCCATCACGGGATCACCATAGCCCGTGCTACTTGGAACTTTTAGTTCCCAGCAGCTGAATCTTAACAACAACAACGTTGGAACCCAAACAACCCGGACCTAACCTATTAATTACAAGCCGATATATATACGAAACGTAAATATTGAGGTGCTCTCCATATCACTAATACGCGGCATTTTTAACGGACTGGCAGGTGTACCCGCCCAGTGCTGCCAACCGTCCCGCGGTACCTACTTGTCATGTCCGTCGGAGGTCCACCCTTTTTGCCATTAAACTTTTTCTCCATTCTCGTACCTGTCAATGGCCTCAACACCCTATACCGAAACCTTTTGTCCTTGTATCCTCTTTCTTTCTGCCGCTTACGTATCAATACAACAAAATTAGTACGATAATGGAAGAGTTAGGCTATACAAGTTATAGCTTTGACCGTGTCGAAATGATATTTTTCCTGTCAACATGTGTGAAGATTTGCCTGCGAGGAGTGTCAAGATCAAGGCGAATATTCGCTAGTGTCCTTCGTGTTTGTCGACATAGAGAGTTGGTAGCCGCGTATGGCCACGAGGGACACGACAACCTGAGTGCGTCATGAGTGGAGGAGACGAGCTCTGGAAGCCTCAATGTGCCATAAACTGTGGCGACATTGTCTAGCATTAAAGAAAAAACAAACATTTTTCGTACTCTGGTGGTGGTATTTACCTATCGGTAACTACGAGGGAGCCAGGCCTAGCTCTACGAGGGAGCCAGGCCTAGCTCTACGAGGGAGCCAGGCCTAGCTCTACGAGGGAGCCAGGCCTAGCTCTACGAGGGAGCCAGGCCTGCCCCCGCCTAATGGCCTACCTACCTCTTGTGCTATAATCTAACTATCCTAATATTCTCCAGGGATGGTGGTACCAACCCGAGTTGGTACCAGCTGGTCTTCCCGCGTGCACACACAGACTTAACTCTCATAATCCGTCGTAACACCCGTGATTAACACCAGCCCTGTGGAATTAGATTTCCTAGCTTTATATAATGGAAAAAAACTGCTCAACATTCTTCCGTATAAAAAAAAAACTTTTTGGTAGTAAATCCGGCAAAATCTTTCCTTCCTAGCATCGCCTTACCAACAAAGGTGATTTTCCTCGCCCCAAACCTCTCCTCCCGCCCTTCCTTAATCCCCCGGGCGGCGGCTGGGAAGACCAGCCCCGGAGAATATATATACGACTATCCCAGCAGATGGCATCCCCGTTATCAAGCCTCCAACACGCCCGTGCGCCCTCTCCTGGCTCGCACTACATCTCCACCAGGTAACCATGTTCACCAGGGTCTTCTCAGCAAACGCCACACTGCAGGAGCTGGGCGGGAGGGAGACAGTGAAGCGGTTTGAGAGTGGAGGACTTTGGGAGGAGGGGGTACGGGAGGGGGAAGGTGTCTATTGTAACAATAAACTGCGCCATGCGACTCGCTACCGGATTGTGAGGGCCTTTTACACCAGTTGCTGGAGCCCGTTACCATAGTGACAACGGTACAGATGCTGGTGACAGTGGTGGAGGGTGATGGTGGTGGTGAAGGGTGGTAGTAGTGGTGGTGGTGGTAGAGGGATGTAGGCGTGGCGAGAATCGAGACAGGCAGATAGCTGAGATAACAGCTTTAGAGTCGAATGAACAAAACACAGGGGAGAGGACAGTGTGACCTTGAGGGAGGCTGTGGTGAGGGAGGCTGCAGATGGTGACATGATCATGACCAACACGGCTGCTGCGGTGACTGGGGGGGGGGGCACATTTTTTTTGCTTGGATTACCTGCGGGTGTAACTTGAGGGAGGAGGAGAGTGTGTCAGGAGGCAGAGTGTTCCACTGAAACAAGACACTTATAGTTATACTCGCCTCGCTGTAAGGCCCGCACCTCCTAACCACCATTTTAACACATTTGGGAATGTATTGACAAACAATGAGGTAGTGAGAATTGGGAGCCGGTCGGCCGAGCGGACAGCACACTGGACTTGTGATCCTGTGGTCCCGGGTTTGATGCCGGGCACCGGCGAGAAACAATGGGCAGAGTTTTTTTCACCCTATGCCCCTGTTACCTAGCAGTAAAATAGGTACCTGGGTGTTAGTCAGCTGTCACGGGCTGCTTCCTGGGGGTGGAGGCCTGGTCGAGGACCGGGCCGCGGGGACACTAAAGCCCCGAAATCATCTCAAGATATACCCAGGTCTAATACTTCATTTCACCTTTGTGTGATATTGAATTCTCCATCCCACAGGATAGTTTATCGTACAGGGGGGGGGGGCACGCAAGTCATTATTCTGCACAACCTTTGCGTGGAATATGAGGATATCCTCGAGAACACGAGTGTGAATAAGTGGTTACAACGCTCCAGGTACCTCATACCGGCAGGTGTGAAGAGTCTGACGACTGGACACTCGGCGATGATGAAGGTGAGAGATTATGACCCAGTTCTGGTACACAGTTTACACCCAGTGTTCAGGATTGGGAGATTCATCACTTGCTAGCACTCTTGCCTCGGGTAACTGTAGCCCAAACAGAGTCTCGCAATCGCTAGCATACACTAGTAGACTTTGTGCTGCCAATATAATCTACGAGTTGTAGCTGAATAGATAACTTCTATTTATATATATATATTAGCGCTTTTCGGCCTTTGAATTATCAGACCTGAATATTTGGCGTAATATAATGTCAGTGATGGAGTGGGAACTTTGGTTTGCGATACATTGTTGATGATTCCGTCTCCATTCAATACATCTTTGAATGATGTATTGTCGAGGCCTTGCTTACCGGCGAGTAGCTCCAAGGTCTTGGGCCTCCAGCCGTGAGGGTGGAGAATTTCATCTTTTGTGTAGTCTACTTTCCATTGCGTCTTTAACATTTCCAGCATATCTCCCCTCTATCAAACACCCCACGTAACAACAGCCTCCCCCTTGCCTTCAAAAGACGGCACATTTCGCAGAGTGAGAATACCTCAAAAGATGTCGCTGAGCGGAAAGTCTGAAAGTGTTATTTGATAAGGTAAACTTAGGAGAGTCACTATCCTCTCCACCTTCCACCCCTCTCCCCACGGGAACTTTTTATATGTGGTCATCTCTTACTCACCCCCCCCCCCTTCCCCGCACCTCTTGTCCCCCCCGGGAACCAGAGAGATAACATCCCCATCTCTATTCTTCCTAAGGAAGATTTTATTTTTGTGCACTCTTCCCACGAGTAATTAGTCCGCCTACCTCGTTCCTAGTATACCTAGGTCATAAAAGTATTTATGTGTACGTCTGATACCATACTACTTGTGTAAAGGAGGAAATGTATATGTTTATCTCTCAGAATGTTTGGTAATATGTTTATTGTTTGTGATGTGTGTCTATGTATGTATTAACACGATGTACTGAACGGGATGAGAATAGCTTGAGCTACCTCATCCCTTTGTGTGTATTTTACCTCAATAAACCTCAATACCTCAATAAACTTATTTCAATTTCAAACCTCGTTCCTACCCCCCAATGTTCAGACTGTCGGTACCGTGTGATAAGCGTTCGATAAGCTCAGGAATCTATGCTCCAGTAGACTGCCGGTTGAGAGGCGGGGACCAAAGAGCCGAAGCGCAACCCCAGCAAGCACAACTAAGCGAGTATAACTGGGTGAAGTATACTGTTGCTGGGTACGTTTTTGTGGGAGCGGGGCACGAGGAGCGGGGCAGTCCCTTGGGAGGTCAGGGCGAGACGCACGCTCACTCACGGCTCTCACAGTCTCTCCCACACACCTTCTCCAAGATGCTTGCACGGAATACAAATTTACAACCGTAGTAGCCCTCGTGACCCATTTGAGGCAGGACCTATTTAAACCCCCCACCCAACCCCCTTCCCCAAAGGGGAACAAAGCTCCAAAGCTTTATGGGAGCCGGTCGGCCGAGCGGACAGCACGCTGGACTTGTGGTCCTGGGTTCGATCCCAGGCGCCGGCGAGAAACAATGGGCAGTTTCTTTCACCCTATGCCCCTGTTACCTAGCAGTAAAATAGGTACCTGGGTGTTAGTCAGCTGTCACGGGCTGCTTCCTGGGGGTGGAGGCCTGGTCGAAGACCGGGCCGCGGGGACACTAAAAAGCCCCAAAATCATCTCAAGATAACCCACACAGGTTAATCAAAACAGTACCCCCCCCCCTGCAAAACAACAAAATTCAACACCCATAATAAACATTGCACAACACAACGTGATACAATCTAACGAATACATTCCCCCCCATTTCCGCCTTCTTGCACCCGGGAGTGAGATTGTGGTTTATTTGGGGGCCAGAGAGCACAATAACCCCCCCCCTCGTGACCTTTATATAACCCTTCCCACCCTTTACACCTCTGCTCCCCCCCCCCATTTAGTCCTCTCCCACCCGTCCAAAACACAGTCCTCCCCCCTTAGCTTATCCATTTATTCCACAAGGATCTAAAACCTGTCACGGCATGATCGTGAGTGACGTCACACGTGTACACCAGATATAAAAACAAAATTGTTTTTATGTTGAAGAACACACACTTTTCTCAGGTATATTACCAGCCACGCTGGGAGCAACATTCCCACCTTACTGCCTCCTCTTATTAATTTTCTCAAGACATACCGTGACCTTCTCTGACCTCCAGTGTCGTGTGGTGGAGCTTCCACGTTCATATTGACCTTGGAGACCCCTTCTGACCTACCCAGTTTCTCGGTGATTCAGCGAACCTTAAAGTTACCACCAAGACTAGAAATGGAAGGCGGAGTGAGCTCTCATGACCTGGTGAGCCACGCCACTATTCTAGATAGTCCGGTCGACCATGACAAATCACGTCATTCCACGTCCTACCGAGCAGCCTGACGACCTTCCAGACAACCTGGTGATCTTCCAGACAGCCTGGTGATCTTCCAGACAGCCTGGTGATCTTCCAGACAGCCTGGTGATCTTCCAGACAGCCTGGTGATCTTCCAGACAGCCTGGTGATCTTCCAGACAGCCTGGTGATCTTCCAGACAGCCTGGTGGGACAACGGGCAGCGTATGGGCGAGAGGGGTGGGTGGGGTGACAGATACCCCCCCCCTAACACCCACATTCGAGCAGGACAGCTGCCTACTCTGTGTGTGTTTGGGAGGGGGGAGAAGTCCTCACTCTGCGCCTCTGCTCCCCTCTCAACTTCTGGTAGTAGCCTCACGTGTCGTCTGGCCCTGCATCTCCCGGAACAGGCGCCTACAGGAAGCAAACACACACACACACACGCAAATGCACCTTTTCTACCTGTAACACGCCTGAAGCCATTTCTACTTTTGAATCCAATTATG